TGTACATTGACCCTCCCTTCCCTGGCTAGTTAATATGACTACCGTAAGGCCTATTTTTCAGTCTTTTTTTTTTTCTTTTCAGTGATTTAATTTGATTGCAAGTAACAGAAATCCAATTCCGACTAGCTTAAATATAACATAAAGCAATGGTGACAGTTGGGGGTGTGTGTGGCTAGTTTGGCTCTGGGGAAGGTAGAGTATAGGATTAGACTGTGAAGCATAATTAGGTCCAGAAGCTCAAGTGTCATTGGGACTGCCTCCCTCCCTCTCTCCTTCTGTCTTTCTCCTTCCCTCTCTCCCTTCCTTTCTTTCTCCCTCCCTTCTTCCTTTTCTCTCTCCCTCCTTTCCTCTCTCCCTCCTTCCCTCTCTCTCTCTCTGCCTCCCTCCCTCCCTCCGGCTCTCCCCTCATGGTGCCAAGATGGTTGCCATCTGCTGCAGGCTTTCATTCAAATCCACTCAGGGGAAAAAAGTTTCTCTTTCAGGAAAGTCCTAGAATGAAGTCGTCTTGGTATTGATGAGTCATTGGTTCTGATGTCATCCCTCAACAGTCACCAAGGCTAAGAGTATCCATGATGGATTGGCCAGGCCTGGGTCTCCTGACCACTCCCGGGACCAGGATAAGGCCCCAGAAAATCAGGGCTGTTATGTTGGACAGGCAGGAAGGGTTTCGGTTTGTGAGTTCCAAACCCCAATACTTGTGGAGAGTTGTTACTCAAGTAGCTCTGATCCTCTGTGGAGCAGAAAAAGAACTGGGTCCACTTTATCTCATCAGGGAGAAGGCTGGCTTTGTGTTTAGCTTTTAACACGTCTTGGATGAATAGGCTTGTTGATGGTTGGACGTCAGCCAGTCATGCATCATCATCCCTGGCAACACAGCCTGTTTATGGAGGGAGATGCTGATCTCCAATCAAGTCTCTTGGGTTCAGTACCGTTTAAGGGTAACACACTTCATTAGGCTGGTGGTCCCTGAGTCTGCCCACCAGAATCACCCGAGGAGCCTGGTTCGCTCTCTGGTAAAACCCAGATCCCATCAGGTCACGCCTCTGCTTAAAAACCCACTGTGGTGTTTTGCCACAATTAAAAAAAAAAAGGCAAACAAAAAAACCCCACTAGTATTCCATTCTCCTACTCCACCCTGTCTTTTTCCTCTCTTAGAGGCAGTTTAATAGATTAGTTTAACACATTTTAGTTGATTATTTAGGTATTTACTTCTATGACTCTAACTAAATAGTAGGCTTTGTGGGGCTACTTCTTGATTTTTCAGTTTTAGTTCTCTAAACATCCCACTATGGAAGATGAGATTTAGACCCTTTCTTCCTCTGTCCCCACCACACACCCACTTTGCCCATTTCCTTTCCTCCCAGCAGAACTACTGTGAAGTCAGTATCCAGTGTTTACGTTGTTACGCCGTGTAAGTGCTGTTGACAATGGACAATAGCCATCTCGTCAACTACGATTGCTTTTACTTGTTGTGGTAGAATGCATTCCTCAGTCATATCTGATAAAGGGTCTCTGGAAAGTAAATTGAGACTTGCTTAAAAAAATCCACTCCGCCTCCCCATTGCGCATGCGATAGAGTTCAAGTGCCATACTATGGCACACATGCCCTTGTCCCAACCTCCACCAAACCTCCCGTCTGCCAATCCTTGCTCATGCTTATCCCTCAGTCTCTGATGCCCCTTCTCAAGGCCTGATTTAGATGGCACTATCTTTGGGCGGCCTCCCAGTTGTGTGTCTGTTACACAGTGTGTATACTGAGGTCTTGGTACGTATCACCCGACACTGTACTTATGTATTTACTGCTTGCGTTTAAATCTTGGCTCTGCCATTTCCCAGCTGCGTGACTTTGGGAAAATTATCTATTCTTTCTGTGCCTCAGTTTCCCTCTTCGTAAAATGTGGATGACAACAGTAGCACCTGCCTGATGAGGTTGTTAGCAGTTACGTAAATTGGTGGAATTGAGCATTTATAATAGCGTCTGCCACTTAGTATGTTGTCCATCTGTGCTGTGCATCCCTTTTTGTCAAGAAGGCAGCGTTGGTGGGTTATATTCATTAGTAACCAGAATAGCTCTTGGCAAATCAAACGTCTCCAGGAGTTGGCAGGGGACCTGAGCGAGAGAAGCAGGCTGGGTGTGATTCAGGCCCGGGGGGTGGGGCCTGGAAAGGGCAGTCTCTGTGTACAGGGCACTTCAATTCCACTGGCTAGTGGTTGTCAGGTGGAAGTGGGGCCCAGTGTTGCCAGATTGTCCGATTTTTATTTTTTATGAGAAATTTGAGAATCCACATTTTAAAAAAATGTGTGTTTTTCTGACATTCAGTACACAGCATACAGGCCAAAGGCCCATAGGCCACTTGTTTGGGGCCTAATTCTCATTTTACAGAGGAGGCCAGAGTGATGATGTGACCTGCCCTGGGTCACACGCTGACTGCTCGGGCCCTCGGTTGTCTCACTTGTGGTCTGGACGGGGACCGCTCTGGTGCTGACTCCCACCAGGGTGGTGGCTGCGAGGATGCAGTCACGCATGTGAGCACATTTGCAAAGCAGCTGCCTGCACGGTGTAACAGGTTACTAGGTCTTCCTGTCAGCTACCCCTGCCCCAGGGAGACCCCCTTGGTGCTTTTTAATAGGATCGTGGGTCTCTGTTCACGCCGGGAGAAAATTGTGTACATTTATGGAGTATCTACTGTGTGCCTAGGAACTGTTAGGTGTTTTGTTTTATTTATTTTTTATATATATATATATACATATATATATTTTATTATTAATTTATTTTTGTTACAGATGTTTCTTCTTTTCCCCCCGTTGACACCCTCCTCCCAATCCCCGCACCCAGCATTGTTGTCTGTGTCCATTGGTTATGTATATAAGTTCTTTGGTTTATCTCTTCTCTCCCCCCCCCACCCTTTTCTGAGGTTTGTTCGTCTGAACCCTACTTTTATGTCTCTGGGTCTATTACTGTTAGGTGTTTTACATTTGCAGTCTCCTTTATTCCTGCTAACAGCCCTCCCTAAGACATGGAAAGTAACTATTTTATAGGTGATAAAAATGATTCGTAAAGAACTTACCCAATTGGGGCTGCACAGAAAGAGCTTTAGCCAGAATTGGATGCATCTTTGATAAAAATCCCGGGCGTTAGACAACTGCTGATGTCAAGTCCAGCAGACGCGCAGGAGGTTTGCTGGTCCCTGGGCTGCCCTCATGCATCTGCAGCTCTTCCTCAGGAGCACATGCCTAGTCCTATTCCCGGTCTTCAGAAGCGGTAGTAGGAGACTGCAGGCCTGGCTAGGGAGGAGGGAGGCAGAGAAAATCCTGGTGATGACACAGGACTGGGGGAAGGGGCCACACTGATGTCAGAAGTGTCTGGGGTGACAGGACAGAGGGGAAGGAAACAAGAAGTGATCAGAGCCTCCTTTACTTCCATGAGCCATCCCACTGGCCCAACAGGTGCTTCCCATTTGCTGTTTAGAAAGTGTTCAGATAGTTACTTGTGAGGCAGGCACTTTGCAGCTAATGGAACCTCATGTGTTTTACCAGCACGGTGGCTCTTTGTCTCGGGGCAGCCCCGTGCTGGTGATCACGTGTTGTTCCTTCTTCTCCGAGTATCATTTCCCCTTCTCAAAGACGTGCACACACACGGGCACCCCCCGCCCCCAAGGTGTGGCTGCATCAGGCAAACGCCAACGGGAAAAGGAGGAGAGTGGATGTGGGGTCTGCGAGATACCGACCCGATCCTCCAATATGTCCGAGACAAGGGACTAAATTTCTTTTTAATTTTGTTTCTCCTTGTGATGTCCACAGGTCTGGTTTCTTGACTTTCACAGTGTGGTTAAGCCTGGCATGGCCCCTTTGCCCGTTCCTCCCTTCCAAACTCTTCTCGAGGCCCAAGTCGGTCTCCAGGATGGTGGCCACCCTCACCTTTTGTCCATCCACCACATTCCAGACTTCCAGCGTCCTTCCCTTTCTTGGAAACACTGTCCCCCCCCCCCCAGGCTGATGGCTCTGCTGCCTGCTTGGGACTCGTATGTCCTCTCCTTCCCCAGTGCCCAGTCATGCTCTAGGCTTCTGTGTGGATAGTGCCCCTCTGGGAGTTTTCTGGGAGTCTCCCAGTCGAGCCCTGTCTTACGTGGCCTAGTGAGGTTCTCCACTGCTGGGTGCCATGGCACCTCTGCCATTACCGTCCTGGCACAGACTTCTGAACTGGGCTGTCAACGCCGCTCTTCCCCACCAGACTGGAAGTGCCCTGAAGGCAAAGACCAAGGCCGCGGCCCAGCACGGGTCTGGCATGTGGGAAACTTGCTCTCAGTGCCTCATTTTGAGCATGTCACGTGGTTGAGGGCTCCACGGGAGGGTAGGGAGTGGTGCCATCCTTTGGAGTTCAGCTGCTGGGTGACCTGCTGGACGTGTTCCTTGAGGATCTGGACAGAGCCGTTCCATCCATCCTGTGCTGTCCCATACAGCAGTCAGTAGCCACGTTTATTTTTACAATTTAAATATATTTAATTAAGATGAAATAAAACTCATTTCCTCGGTCTCACCAATCAATTTATTTTCTTATATAGAAAGATTTTTTCCTCTTTTAAAAAAGTGTTTTATTTATTGATTATTCAGAGAGAGAGAGAAAAAAACGTCGATTTGTTGTTCCACTTATTTATGCATTCATCGATTGATTCTTGCATGTGCCCTGTGGATTGAACCCACAACCTTGGTGTATTAGGCTGACACTCTAACTGAGCTACCCGGCCAGGGCTCACCAGCCGATTTCAGGTGCTCAGTGCCCACGTGTGGCTAGGGTGTGCGTGCCGGACGGTGCCGACGCTGGGACACGGCCAGCAGCACAGGAAGTTTGTTCTTTTGGACGGTGCTGCTGGAGACGGTGTCCTGTGAAGGTGCTTGTAGCTTGTGTGAAGTCCATCCTCGTGTCCTGGGGAGGTCAGGCGGGTTCTTGCCGATTCCTTCCTAAGCCTGAGCTACGTTTCCTCCGTCTCCCCTGGCTGCAGGATGCTCGCCAGAAGTTCCGCTCTGTTCTGGTGGAAGCGACGGTGAAACTGGACGAACTGCTGAAGAAGATCGGCAAAGCCGTGGAAGACTCGAAGCCCTACTGGGAGGCGCGGAGGGTGGCGAGACAGGTAAGACAGCCCCGCACGGTGTCTCCCTGCCCCTGCCCCCATCCCAGCTGGCACTGGGGTGCGCCTTCTGACTTCTGTCTCCCTCAAAGGTTAGAAGCGTGAGTCCTGTGTGATGGGGCACAGCCATGACTTTGTAAACAGCTGCATTGAAGCCAGCCTCTTATTACCAATCCCCCTCCCCCAGGCTGCCTTCATTCCAGCTCTTGATACTATTCACAGAGGGTGGGTGCTGGCATGTGGATGGCCCTGTGAGTGGGCGCCACTTTGCCGCCGGAGTTGGCGCCCAGGTTCATTTCCCAGGCAGTGGGCCCAGCTCAGGCGGATGAGAGATGTGTCCAGAACCCCAGGCTTAGTTCTCTGGCCTCTCCTCGTGACTGCCTGTCAGGCAGCAGGGGGATCACTCTGCCCCTCTCTTTCTCCTCCCCACTGTGGGAGGAATTAGCCGTTCGCTTCTCTTGAAACATTGGTTATCTGCCCTGAGAGCCCAAATAGGCAACTGAGGCAGAAAAGGGGCAGCAGAGGGGAGCTGCGGTCAGGCGATTGCTGGGGTCCCCTGGAGGTTGGTTCTGGTTTCAGCGTTGACCACTGCTGAGATGCAGCGTGTGGGTGTGCCTGTGTCACCACTCGGCTCTGATGGCCAGGCATGTGCACGGGGAAGGAGAGCCCTGACACTGACGGGTCCCTGTCCTGTGGGCAAGCCACTGGGTCATCAGGTCTAATCACATAATAGCCCGACCCTGGGCGCCTGTGACTGCCTCACTGTCAACTGGCCGAGCTCAAGATGAGTCTGAGGGACTCCTGCCCGGCTTTGTGCCTGCAAACCCGCCCCTTAAGCTCATGCCTTTATGCAGGTGGGGCAGGAAGAAGGGCGGAGAAGGCTCAGAGTGACCCCTGCCCGTCCACCCCAAGGGACCTTATTGGTCTATAGCTGAGGAATGGAAAGGATGCTCAAAGGCCGAGGCTGGGTACGGATGTCACATTTCATCTCCGTGGCTGGGGACTGTCTGGTCTTGGGCCAGGTGGCTGAGTCTGTCTGTCTGCACCAGCGTGACCTTCCTGACGGTGAAGGGGTAGGGCCCTCCGCCAGCCGCTGCCAAGTGGGACTTCCTGTTTTCTTCCTCTGGTCTTACTCCACCCGCTTCCTTTCTGTATTTACAAACCATTCTGACTGTAGAGCAGGGGTGGTCACTCAGAGATGCTTCAGAGCGTCTCCTTCGAGTGTGTACCTCGAGGCACTGCATTCCCGCTGCGTTCACGGACCAGCCTTGGCTCTCTCATGAGGTCGTCCTTAGGACCTGAGTGAGATTGTGTTTGACCACGGGATCCCTGCATGAGCTTAGGTTTTGGCTTCATTTAAAAAGACTGTTGGCCCTGGCCGGTTTGGCTCAGCGGTTAGAGGGTCGGCCTGTGGTCCGGAGAGACCCGGGTTCGGTTCCCGCTAGGGGCATGTACCTTGGTTGCAGTTTGTCCCCGGCCCTGGTTGGGTCGTGCAGGTGGCAGCCACTCGATGTGTCCCTTTCACATCGATGTTTCTCTCTGTCCCTTCCTCCCACTCTATCTCAACAAAATACTGAAAAATGTCCTCGAGTGAGGATTAAAAAAAATAAATAAATAAAAAGACTGTTGTAGGAAATATCAAAAATAGACCAAAAAAAAAGAATATAAGTCCTCATACCTTCTGTTAATATTTGATGTATATGTCTTATTCTTTTTAAGAAAAGATTATAGCGTAGTGGTGATTTTGTTATATGTCCGGAATGACCGTGTCCATCCATCCAGAGGCTCAACAGGACACTGGAGACTTAACAGAGGGTTGGTTTTCCGTAAAGCGTTTACAGATTGGTAGTGGTCTGGCCTGTAGAAATGCCCTCTAGATACCCATCAAAATCTGCTTCGACTCTTGTTCCTGATGTCAACTCATTTTCCTACTGATGAGACAGATTCAGTGCTGCGCGTTTGAAGACCCAGGCCAGATTCTGTCAAGAGGAGGTGGAAGAGACCTGCCTTTTCTTGTCTGGGCCGAGGTGGGGGCAGGGAACTGACTTCGATTTATTTGAGGGTTTGTTCCTTGAGCCAGAGCTGTTGTTAAGGTGGCTTTGATGTACCTGCCAGCCCGTCTGGCCGTCAGTGTGAGGCAGGGACATTCTGCCGGGGGAGCCTGTGGGACTCAGGACACCTGAGCGGTGCAGTGTTTCTTGCTTATTTTGCTCCCTGGGTTCTATCTGGTCTAATACTGGCCCTGGGCCTGTCACTTTATCACTGCCAGTCCCAGCCCTTGTAACTGTTTTTTATGTTTATTTTTTAATCCTCACCTGAGGATATTTTTCCATTTATCTTCAGATAGAGTGGGAGGGAGGGAGAGAGAGAGAGAGAGAAAGAAACATCGATGTGAGAGAGACACATCAACTGGCTGCCTCTTGCACGGCCCCGACCAGGGCCAGGGATGAATTGCAACCGAGGTATGTGCCCTTGACCGGAATTGAACCTGCGACTCTGGTCTGTGGGCCGACGCTTTAACTGCTGAGCCAAACCAGCCAGGGTACTTTTCCTTTTTAAAAAAGTGTGAACTGTATGTAAGTCTTACCATTTTTAAGTGTACGGTTCAGTAGCACTAAGTACATTCATATTGTTATGTGACCCTCACCACCATCCATCTCCAGAACTTTTTCATTTTCCCAAACTGAAACTCTATGTTATTTACCCATGAAATAATAACTTCCCATTTCTCCTTTCCCTCTGCCCTTGGCAACCACCATTCTGCTTTCTGTCTCTATGAATCTGACTACTCTAGGCACCCCATATAAGTATAGTCATGCACTGTCTGTCTTTTTGTGACTTGCACATTTCACTGAGCATCATGTCTTCAAGGTCTATCCATATTGTATAATGTTAGAATTTCATTCCCTTTTCAGGCTGAATATAATAGACCCTATTCTGTTTATTTCATTCATCTTTAAGTGGACACTTGGGCAACTCTTGTTAGTTTTAACTGTAATTGTGAGAAGAGAGCAGAGTGCGTTGCACACCTGAAGGGCAGCAGAAGGTCATTCAGTGCTGCAAGTTGCCTGTTTGGTGTTTATGGGCCATGTAAGTTCATGTCCTTTACTCACCTGCCTTTGGGGAAGTGAGTGAGTGGGGGAACATCTGAAACTGGAGGAATGACGTAGCTGTGGGACAACCAGCAAAGCTTAGCTTCTGGAGCCAGGCTGCCGGTCTTGGAATTCTAATTCACCGCTTAATAGCGGTGGGACCTCAGCAGACTGCTTGCTCTCTGTGCCTCAGTTTCTTCATCTGTAAAGCGGAGTTGTGTGTTCGTTCTAGCTTTTGCTGTGAAACAAATCACTCCAAACTTTGGGGCTTAGAGCACTTAGTTAGCTCATGATTTTGCTGGGCAGTTTTCCTGATCTCAGGCCTCTACAATCAGTTGGTGGGTTGGCTGGAGGCTGGCTGATCTCAGATGGTTTTATCCAGTAAGCAGTTGGCTGGTTGACAGCTGAGGCCTCAGGGGTGACTGGACCACGTGTGTCTCATCTTAGCAGAAGCTAGCGTGGCTTCTTCGCATGGTGTTGGGATTCCAGAAACACAAGGGCAAGCCCTTTCCAGGTTTCCGCTAGCATCACGCTTGTCCTGTGGGGTAGAGTCAGTCACATAACCAGTCCACATTCAAGAATTGGGAAACAATAAGCTCCACCCACAAAGTATTATAGCCGTTTTTACATCTTACCGTAGTATTAAGTTAGTACATGTAAAGCGTTGGAATCAAAGAAAAAGAATGTAAGTTATTATTCCGGATGTGTTTACTGTGAAATATTATGTCTCCCTGGTGAATCTGCTGCCTTAAAATAAAATAGCCTAATAAAAGTTCGTGAGTAGAAGAAACAGACCTCTGCTGGCTGGGAGGGGGTATGGAAGATGGAGAGACCGGGGGCGCAGAAGGGTGACCCCAGGCAGGTTGAGTGCATACAGAGTTGCTTGTAAGGATAAAATGTGCCAGAGGATTGAAAACGATGAGGAAATAGCTCACTGACTTTTTGACTGATCTAAAGCCCTGTAAACCCAAACAGATAATGTGGTGCGGGCCTCAAAGGGATGGGGAGTCGTGTTTCCCACGACATGAAACAGGTCAAGTGCATCAGTAAGCCCTGAATTCTTAAGTTAATCACAGAGGCACAGAGTGCTATGTCTTCCTTTGTCGGGAAATTCTACACATTGGTTGTGTTTGCAGAAGACCCTCCATAGTGGGGAATGAGAGGCCCAGGTTTTGCAAAGGGGGGATTTTTTTTTCCTTCTCATGTATTATTTCCTTTCATTCAACAAATATTTACTGGGTTCCTACTAATTGCCAGTCACTTTTTTAGCCACTGACAAAGAACAGGACAAAGACCCTGATTCTATGGAGGTGACATTCCCCTCTTACCAGTCTTATGAAAGTGTGTGGAGCGGGGTGTTTGGGGCAAAAGTAGAATCTTTGTTACTGACCTGGATGAAAGGGTGGATTTTGTCCCTCCTTCATTTGAGAAATGGAGTGAGACTAGGGGAGGGTTACGGAGGGCCAGGGATCGGCAAATAAATGTGTCTCTTTGGGGGTCTCCTGAGCCTCTCCCCTTCGTCTGCGCCGGCCATTGTGGACATAAAATGTGGTTTGTATCCCCCAGGAGCGACATCTACATGCAGGAGCAAGGTGGTTTTAAGGCGTAGGTGGTTACAGTCCATTGTCATTATTCACGGTCTTCCTCTGGAGCCCCCGCCAGCGCTGAATCAGGGAGGCATTCCGCGGAGGCCTTGCTCCCAGTGAGGGGGAGGGTCCGGTTCTGAGGCCTGTGGTCCCATTTTCATCAACCCATCCATACAAACCTTGTTTCATGTGTATTTCCCTTTTCTTATATACTTCTTATAAATAATTACATACAGTATTTCTTCCTACTAAAACACCAGCCAAGAAGGGCGGAGCAGTTTCCTGACCCCGGGCGGCATGTACGTCAAGTCCTTTGGCTTTCGGC